GACGTCGCCTCAAAATTTTACTTGGTAAATGCTATTTAAATTTTGTAAAATAACATACTCCGAGACTTGCGGTTTATGCATCCATGGTGTAGGTTAACTGCTACAGTATTGACACGCTATAAAAATATATAATGTTCTGTTTTAAGATTTAATTAATCTCTTTATTGTTAGGTTGTGTAGTGGAAATAAGTTGAAACTTGTATAAATCGTTTGTTGGAAAAGACTCTGCCCCGTAACGGCATCTTCCTGCCGCTGATTCTTGGTTTTAGCATTTATTGATTACGTAAAATCTGACCGTATATTCTACGATTATATAATTTGTGGCTTGTTATTTTTCGGTATAAAATTTCGTTTTCGCAAGATACGTTGTAATTTCAAGTTTTAAATAGGCGAGGTATTCGTGAAGTGCTTGTTTCAGATATTCGACATGTTGGAGTAAATAATAACGTTATTTGGGCGAAGATGTGAGGCCGGAGCTCGATTCGGTGTTCGGTATCCACATCCTCGTCTCTAGCTCGGGTACAGTTCCGTACATAATTGAATGGCAACCGACCAAGATGTGCCTTTTATAAACAGAGGCAGCCAAGAGTGTCGGTGTGCGAGTGTACTTACAGAAAGGTCGCGTACACGATAGGGGTGTCCAACTTCTCCGGAATAATCAATATTGCACCCTCCTCTCTCCTCCGCCACTGTTTCAATCTGATGTAGCGAAATCGAGAACTTACACGCCCAAGTGACGTACCATAAGAAAACCGATCCAGATGTAATAGTCTCAGGTGGACTGGTTCGGAACTGCCACCACCTTAAGATACAAGATATCAAAACCTCAGTCTGCGTGCCTTCGACACGAGACGATTTTTTCCCTTTATCATTTTTTTCGGCGTCCGAAAATAGTCATGGTCGCGAACTTGCCGCAGTCGATTAAACTCGAGTCGGTGCGTGTGTGTGTGTTTGTGTGCGTACTTTCGAAAAAAGATGGCGATCTCTTCCGAGGTCTGCAGCAATCGGATGGAAGTGAGCCCGGCCGGTTGGTTGGTGTTCGTATGGGTCGATAACCTACATTATTAAGCATTCTATTATATGTCTTTTACCTGGTCTGAATGGTCGCACACACAGCTCTCGGTAGTAAGTAGTCGATGAACGCCAAGGAGGAGGCCTTTGCTTTATTAGCCGTTCTAAAAATGTCTGGCCGCTATGTACAGCCGCAACGGGCCCCCAAGTCCAATAATGTGATGATGGCGTAAGCAGACTCACGAGCATATTGCATTGATTAGCCCGTGACAAGGAAATTATTTCATTCCATCCATACCCGATGTGTATTGGTGTTGGTGCTGCCGCTACGACAGGCCTGACCACGGTACGAGCAGTTCCTAGTTCGAACTGTTTTTTTTTTTTCGTACGTTGCTCCATACATTTTCAAGGTGCGTTTGCTCGGAGTGAAATGTCTGCTGCTTTTGCACACGTGGAAGTTTCGAAAATATGGCGAACATTTGACTTTTTAATGTAGTTCAGGTTAGTACTCGTTCGATAGACGCACGAACAGCCCCAGATTAGTACCTGCGTTTGGACGAGATTTCAGGATTTCTACCTAGATGGGTGCCTCTTTATTCATTACGATCGTAGGTAGTGAGAGACCCATCAAATTTCGTGGTACCACCACGAGAATTGAATGTCTCGTGTTGCATTACGTGGGTGTACTTAATACTAGAATGGCCAGAAGTGTCCTTAGTACTTTCGGTTTAAGCGTCGGATTGTGGTATGTGTTCATTCATAATTGCTATTTGACGATAAAAGTAAGGAAAGTTTTTGGGTTAAGTTTCAAGAGGTCAAGGATAAGCAGATGATGATTTTTTTTAATGTCACATCTCTTGAGTTGATGTTTTTATAAACAGCGGCAGTGGCGGGGACGGGGTTAGGGTCGTGGGGATTTAATAGATCTGGGGGAACGGAAATGGTTTGAATTTTAAATTTTAAATATTCGGAAGATGAAAAATGATCATGTTAATTGTGGACGCTGACTTTTTAGTGATTTTGATTTTGTTTAATGATTTCTTTTGACTTAAGTTGCAGACATTTTTACTGCAAGTTTTTCTGAAAAAATATTGTCATAAATTTTAGGGTTTTCGTGTCATAAAAGCGGAAATTTCAGGGAAATATTTGATTTTTTGAAGTAGTGTCTTTGTACAAAGAATATTTAAAATATTCATATATATTTCGCATTTATGGTGCTCTTTTTTCCATTTTTAAGGCTTCCAAGGTTCGTTGCGGCAACAACGAGTTATCTTTGTTGAATTCTTTGTTTTATTGCATATTTAGTTAATACCAACTTATTTCCTGGGTTACTAGATTTTGTAATAATAAACACTTTTTTTTTTCTTTTTCAATTGATGCTATTTGTTTAAAATGATTCGAAAGGATTAAATTCTTAGGTTCCTTGACATTTGCCAATTAATAAATTAGTGCATAAAAGTGATTGTAGTAAGTTTAGAGATACTATAAATTTTTATTATCGACTGAAGAGTAGGCCGCGCTAGACACATTTACTAGATATGCGTTCGAGCTTTAAAAAACTTCTTGCTGGTCGAGTAGGTTGTGGTTTGGGTAATTGATGCCTTCTAATGACAGTTTTTTGTGGATAATGCTCTCAATTATTGAGAACGAGAAATGAAAGAAATGTTTTTTGAGAAGTTGTTTTATGATTTAGATAGTATTTTATTTTGTCAGTATAGCTTCTTTATTTTTCTAATTTAAAAATTGTAAGTCATTGAAAAAATTTTGTGTGTCACCCGTGACGTATAGTATATTTTTATTATTGTTATTAATATTATAATACTCGGTTGGCGCCGCTTTGTCAGCAAACCTTATACTTGGAAATAATAATACTTTTATTCCAGCCGTTATCTAAATAAACATACCTACGACAGTGGGATAATGACTGGCCCTTCCTGTCATAACTCGTCTACTAATACCTGCCAGTATAGAACTAAAGCGGAATTTTACCTCAGTACAACAATCATTAGAAAAATATTTACCAGTTTTATGGACCGCCTTTTCGGAAGAACTATAAAGTAAAACCGGTACTGAACGCTTATTCCTTAAACCTTTTTTTAACAAAATGGTTCTTATGCTAATCGAATATAAAGATCCCTGTCGGGTGTATCTCGTCAATTGTGCTGAGTGGTTTAGGTAAGAAATAGCGAAGTACTTTAACATAGTAATATCATCACAGCTACCCGAGTACTTTGTTGTGTAAACGTCATAGTTAATAAAGTACTAAGGCTTCTATCGCACGTGTAACGTAAGTAATTTTTTCGGATAATTTCATATAACAAGGCCATCTGTTAAAATACAAGTGCGTATAATGGAACGCCGTAATACCATAGAACTACCCTCCAATAAACCGCTTTTTGTCGTCGTAGTGACAATTGTGAACGAACTTTGCCAATTAAATGGACCTCTTTCAGAAATATTCAGTTTAAGATTTTGGAGAAGGAAAACTTTATTTTTGTGTAGTTTTAGTTTCTGGGGTTCCGCGACGGGTTTTTGCGCACCACTCAATGTCGACAATTTTCTTATCAATAACATTGAAAAAGCAAACTTGACGTAAGACTGACGCGAGGACTTTGATGTCCATTTTTTGTCAAGTTTGATGTTTTCTTCACCCAAACTAATAAAATTTTCAAAATTCGTAAGCTTGTAATTTTTGAGTGACGCTGCCACTGATCCGAGATCCGTTGTATAAATTTTGCTTGTTCTATTAGTGAGTCAACAATTTCAAGTTTGTCTTTGTCACAGTGGTCGTTCGATAAGAAAATGTCGCGATCGTTTTGTTTTCGGAATGCGATACCCCCATGATCGGTTCGTAAACAGAAAAAAACAACACCGGTACTAGTAGTTTCCTTTCTTTATCGTTCAGCATTGTTTTTCGCTGCAATCTTTTGCTTATCTGTTCTGGTTTCGACGTGGATTTTCGGTTTGATGTTTGTGACCGTGACGAGGGAATAATAATTGATAACGAACGAAAGTAGTACTCAAATAAAGTACAAATTTAATATTGAAATGTAAAGGTCAGATTTGCTAAACGCGTTTTGAAGAAGGTCCTGCTAGTAAGGTCGGGTTTTTGGTGTTCGTCGTGGGGTGCATTGTGTGTACGGTATCTGGAGTTCGAAAGAGGAAGCAGATGATGATATCTGACGCGTTAGAACTGTCTACCTTGTGTTCGATAAATGGTAAAAAGTTTGAGGGCGTCGTTTACTAGGAAAGACATAACGTTATCAGCTCGGTCGTTATCGGCCAAATTATAAACTGTACGTGTGATAAAGAGCATTTTTTTAGGAATAATGTGCTCAAACATAATGTTGCTAACTTGAATACGAGTCGAAATGTTATCTTGTCCGGGTATAATGCGATTGTTGGGAGAGTACGGAGCTGTTTGGGCTTATGGCGGACCCTTTTAACGTAAACCGACGCAAACGGTACACCGAAGAATAATTCCGACTTCTCCCTGCGTGCAGTCTAAATCGGTGACTAGTGACTCATTTCATTTTAGTTTTGATGTTGACGTTGTTAAGTCGGTTGTATTAAGTCGTCGAAAAAATAGTTCCTTCAACTCTCGCCAATTAAACGCCACAGCGACGAGATTCTGCACGCCGTGTCAGGTATAACACGATCATGTCCGTAGTACATAATACAGTGGTAGTAGGTGTGAGCACGAGTCTGCTCAAAAAAATCGTCCATTTTTCCGATTGGACGTCATGGACGATGCTCCTGCGCGAACTGGTTACGGTTTCGTTTTAATATGGAGTTTGCATTAAAATGGACAAGCCGTAATACATTCCGGTGTCGAGTGTGCGAATCCGCGGATTTCTTTCGACAAGCAAAATATTCACTCCTCGATACTACTGGCAGACCTGAAAACGTCGGCCGCATACTTCACTGATTGTACAATTTCAGAGAGATCAAAATTTTGCCAGACTAATCCGAATCTGTCGTTGTTTCAGATGTCAGCTGGATCTCAGATACAGATGGCACCGCAGTCTACGATCAACACAACCCATCAACCCGTACATAGCCAAGACTCCAATATGAGTACAGGTACGGAGAAAAGTTTTGCATATTTGGAAGAGAGACACTTCACATTTATAAGCAATGGCGTTCTAGACCATTTTCACCTTGAGAATAAACATTTATTATGTTGTTTATACGTTATTGTAACTGCTATCGTGTTTCGACATGGAAACTAGACACAAGTACCACTCTATTAACTTTACCAGAAACGTTTTCGAATTCGTTCGGTGCTAGAAACGCGCGTTTTGGGGAATTATCTTCCTGCGGTTTATTCTCGGAACGGTCGAAACATATTTATACGAACGATATTTTTAGATACACCAGTATCAGATATAGGATGATTTCCTTCCTTCGTCTTCTACTCAAAACTTTTACAAACGCTAATTATGCAACGAGGTGAACGAATCGAGGACAATGAAATTCCGATTTGTGTTCTTATCGAGATCGCGATTGTCTGAAATATTATTTATTTAGTTTTTCTTAAAGGTTCGTCTCATAGCGACAAAGAGGTGGACCCCAATACTCCGGAGAAGGTGCCGAGAACCCCTTCCGAAAGGAAAAGGAAAAGAAAAGCGGACGACAGTAGCGGTGCGCCAGGGAAGGGCGTACGGAACGCTACCTCGGATAAGAAAATTAATGATTACTTTAAACATTCTGGAAATAGTCCTATTAGGCACGGGGGGGCGAAGAGTCCGTCGCCCCAACAAACTCCTTATCCAATGGTAAGGAAAACCCATCCGACATTATTCAATCGTTTCACGTTTCCTAATGATGACAAAACTCACCTTTATATGAATTATGCTTAATGATTATTTTTCGAGCATGCACTACCAACTGATTATGATCATAAGTTTTTTTTTCCACCGAACTCACTTTAAATGTTTTGTTATTCAGTTGTGTTGTTACAGTTTCCTCCATCACCTCAACAGGTGGGTCTGCCATCACCGCAGGTCAATACGGTTCCTTACGATTTTTATAAACAACCGCCTCGGTTGCCTCAAACTGCGATGGTTAACAAACAAGTACAGGTATGTTCGTTTATCACCTTGACTATTTTTTGCGACCTCTGATAAATAAAAATTCTTTGTTTAAAAAATCCCCATAAAAGGAGAAATTTATAGTCCACCATGACCAATCAACATCACACTTTTACTAATAGCAATTTTTCTCCAGTCGCAACTCGTTATCAACCCATAAACTGTCCTTTTTATGTCCGCATAGTAGATACTGTTTGCGCTAAAAATGTAATACCGTCTGGTTTTTGCAAAGTTCCCCATTCATTACCATTGTATAAGTGAAAACTGTTTTTTCGTTTGATAACCCAGCAAAATCGCTGTTAGAAAGTACATTGTTTAGCGAGGGGTCAACCCGTATTACACTCACCAACCGAATCCTGATCACATCTAAAAATAATTGCTACTCGTATTTATTTGCTGTTCGATTGTTGAAGTTCACACAGAACATGGGTGTCGTTGTGTCAGGTTCTGTTATGCTTTGTTGAAGTGTGCGAAGTACGAATTTGTTTCAGAATTAATTCGAATTGTAGCGTTATTCCCTTGATTATGCCACATCAAAAACGCTAATTACACCTAGCTCTTAATTTTATATTGTGTTTAATGAATAATAAATCGAACTCTATTCTGACTGCAGAAACTCACAGTCCATTTAGCAATGCTCGAATCTGATTAATTCACATACATAAATGTCAGATTGAATATTCATTTCGAACACTTGGAGTGGCTCTAGTGACGTCACTTTAGCAAAAAAGACAAGGTATTGTTTTTGCAGAAACGCTTTTGCAATCGTTGCATCTCTTAACGACATCTTCAAGGTTCTGACACCTCCGGTAATTTCAGCGAATTGCAAAATTTCGGCTTTGTTTTGGCCTGACACACGCACCAAGCGCGATTTCATCTTCAAACTCAAATAAAACAAAGATTATCGCAGATTTACTATGTATTTTTCCAACCTTGCAAAAACAGATTGTTTTTCGACCTTGCAAACGGTCCATTCAGTCTATGCGAATAAGACAGTTACAAATATGAACATTGACGCCACGTCTAAAATTATTTTTTCACCCAACCATGATGAAAAATCTTCACCGTTGTATGATATAATGATTATACAAACATGCACTACCAACTGAAGTTTTCACGAGACGATAAATTGTAGTGGTGGTTAGTTCTAGACAATGAGATTGTTTTTCTTTTGCAGACTGAATTAACGTGTCACAGGATACAGGAGTTCGAGACGCAAGCGTCCTCCGATCTCGAAGTGCGTAATAACAAAATCGAAGAACTGAATCGGCAAAACGAAGAATACCGACACCAAATATCAACCCAGCAAAAGACGACGGACCAACATAAACAGCAAATCAACAAATGCATCGAAGTAGTGAAGAAGCTGCTCAAGGAGAAGAGTTCGATAGAGAAGAAAGAGGCGCGGCAGAAATGCATGCAGAACAGGCTAAGGCTAGGGCAGTTCGTGACGCAAAGGGTGGGAGCGACCTTCCAAGAGAACTGGACTGACGGACACGCGTTCCAAGAGCTGGCGAGGTAAGTGTTGCCAGAGCTTCGAGTCGAACCCGGCCCCCATTGACCCGATACAACTGTGAGGGTGAATGTCGGTCGAGTGAGGCGAATTGCGGTCGTATTACTAGACTGTTTTTCTCGAGTAGGCGGCAGGAAGAAATAACGGCGGAGCGAGAAGAGATCGACAGGCAGAAAAAATTGTTGTTGAAGAAGAGGCCTTCAAACAACGAGAGCGGCAGGAAAAGGAACAACTCGAACGCGATGCACAACGGGACGGATTCGGGTTTCCTCAAGCCTGACGCCGTTCCGGGTTCCTTGACGCTGCAAGAGTATTACGAGGCCGACGAAATCCTGAAGCTGAGGCAGAACGCGCTGAAGAAGGAGGACTCCGACCTTCAACTAGAGATGGAGAAGCTCGAGAGGGAACGTAATCTTCACATTAGGGAGTTGAAACGCATACACAACGAGGATCAGTCTAGGTTTAACAACCATCCAGTGCTCAACGATAGATATTTGTTGTTAATGTTGTTGGGTAAGGGTGGGTTTAGTGAAGTGCATAAGGCTTTTGACCTTAAAGAACAGAGATATGTGGCCTGTAAAGTTCACCAACTCAATAAAGACTGGAAAGAAGATAAGAAAGCCAACTATATCAAGTGAGTGGTAAAAATCAGTTTGATTCTTTACGACTTTTTCACGGGGTGGTGGATGACACTAACGAGATGCGTTTTGTTGTAGGCACGCGTTAAGGGAGTACAATATCCATAAGGCTTTAGATCATCCTCGTGTAGTAAAATTGTATGATGTTTTTGAAATAGATGCAAATTCCTTCTGTACAGTTCTAGAATATTGTGATGGACATGATCTTGATTTTTATTTAAAGCAGGTGAGCTTCTTTTGGCGCCAGAAACGCCGTTTTTATGCCCGTTTTCCCCCAAATACTGTCAATGCTAAATTTAAACACATTATGTTATTCCTGTTGTACGGCATTAAAGTTGGAATGTATAAAAAGTGGTCTGAAGTAGAAACATACATTGTTTGCTACATTGCACAAAATTTTAAAAATGTTATGAAAACATTTTTTGTGGTTTAATTTTTTAAACACCAGTCTCTAGGACTGTTTGATTTGTTCCTTAATTTTATTGTAAGCATTATATCATCTTTATAAAAAAAAAATTAGTTTCAATTGAAATGGTAAATATCTCGAAAGTTTCTGTATAATTAAAAGATCCGTTTAAACAGTATGTCGATGATGTCATTTAACAACGGCAACGTAGATAATTAAAAAATGCATTCAGATGTTATTGCCAATTAATTTCGCGTTACTGTCATTAAACAAAAATTTTATTAGTTGAGTTGTGCGCATAGTAAGAAAACATGAAAGAAATGAAATATACACTACCTTCTTACAATGATGAATTAACGATTGTCAGTATTCCGAGAACCTATGTTTTGTACCCACATAAAATTTTATTACAACTATTATTAAAAAAAAAAGGAAGCCAAGGCCACAACTATAATGTAAACAACATAAACTAAAAACAATAACTGAATATAATAAACGACTTCTCTTGCTTTAGGAATAGTGATTATGCGCACTAAAGTTTAATGTGGGTGCAAGCAGATCACAACACAGTGATGATTCCCTTTTGCCTGACTCTCCATGACGGCAAATGTGTTTCAAGACGGGACTGAGTCGAACCACGTCGCGTCGATTTGTCCCAGTTATCTTCCCGTGGTGCATAATGACGTATCTGTTTTCAGCATAAGACAATACCGGAGAGAGAAGCAAGATCTATAATAATGCAGGTTGTGTCAGCTTTAAAGTACCTGAATGAGATTAAGCCACCCGTGATTCATTACGACCTCAAACCCGGTAATATTTTGCTCACGGAAGGAAATGTCTGTGGCGAGATCAAGATCACCGATTTCGGGTTGAGTAAAGTAATGGATGAGGAGAACTACAACCCGGACCACGGTATGGACCTCACGTCGCAAGGAGCGGGTACCTATTGGTGAGGTTTTGTTTTTTGGAGTGGCTGGAGGTTACTGAGGGTGGTTTGATTCAGGTACCTTCCTCCCGAGTGTTTCGTAGTGGGAAAAAATCCTCCGAAGATATCGTCGAAGGTTGATGTGTGGAGCGTAGGTGTGATTTTTTATCAGTGTTTATACGGGAAGAAACCGTTCGGACACAACCAATCTCAAGCCACTATTTTAGAAGAAAATACGATCTTGAAGGCGACAGAAGTGCAGTTTGCGAATAAACCGGCGGTGACAAATGAGGCCAAGGTAGGTTTTTTGTGGTGATTTACAAACAAGTAGTTGAATTATTTATTTAAAATGGGTATGATTAGCACAGAAATTAGTAGTTGTTTGTTGCTGTTTAAAGTCGGATTTTTATTGGCTGCGTAAGAATGTCTTTTGGAATTGTTTTGTTTATTTGTCTTACTTATGGCGAAGTTCAATTGTCTGCGAACTTGTTTCTGGTTTGTGTATTATTTAAAAATTTGGAAGTGATTCAAAAATAAATTAAACCAATGTAATATTTTGATACGCACGCCTATAAAAAAAACGCCACGTGGAAATTCCTTTGCCATAAAAATTTGGTCTTGAATTTGCAGACCGTAAATTTTTATATTATAATTAGTAATTAAACTTTTAAACTTCAATAAAAAACCTCCTAGATTCCGTGTTATTTTCACTCTGCGTGACTAGATCTAAAGTGGATAAACTATAAAATAGAATACAAATTTTCATTTTTAAAATTTCACCGGTATTGGCGCATTCGGTCGTTAATGTTGGCAATACTGTTCGCTAATTGAGTATTAGTCGAATCTATATTACAAAGCACCGTTTAATTAATAGACGGAATGAGATTTAACCCTAATTTTGAACTACTATAAAGTTAAAAAAGTTGGTGATAAATTTTAATGGTTTGAAACAGCTGACTGGATGCGCGCTCAACCAACAAAGAACGTCATTTATTGATTTATGAATACGTTGACAAAAACATCCAGAAAATGGAAGTATAACTTCATTCTGTAAACAAAATTTACATTGTAACAATTTAAGTTAAAAGAAAAAACAATCTTCTTGAGTAGTAATGTATGCACATATTTTATTAGTAAACACTTCATTTAATTAAACAAAGATTAAATTCGTATGAACCTGAAAAACTGTGTAATTATTTTACAATATTGCCGAGAGCAACATTAAAAATGTGTGTTTATGTGTGTAGGCAGCAATATGAACTACTTGTTATTTGTGGTTAATTATGCTCATAGTTTTAATTGAATACGTAATATTATAATTAACCTTGATGTGCCACAAAATGGCTGCTCAATCTAATTATATTTAACGAAAAGTATTAAAAATAAATTTTTCCTCAAATTTAAAGTGCTAATATGTAGTTGCAGTGTTTATTCTTGATGTCAGAATGTATGTTTTGAGAAGTTAATAATCTAAAATTATTTTTTCTTGATATAAATGATGGTTTCATTCAAAAATTTTTAATGATGGAATGAAACGACCTTTCAACAAATTTGTAAACATCGTCACGTCTCGTCATCGTTTCTAATAAGGAAATTAATTTTAAATATGTATGTTACATGTTTTATTTCGTGTGGTATGCATGCAATCTACAACACGTCATCATAATTCTATTCAAATGTGAAATACATGTTTTTTTAATTTTTTACTTGCGTATACATATTTAAAAAATTACATAGAAAAATTATGAAACTATTTTTACTTCTTTGAAAATATTTAAAATTGTAACCGATTAATAAAAACATCTGTATGGTTTTCCCCTTTAAAAAGGACGAAGCAGGTAGTAGTTACGTAAAACATATATATTTTTTTTAATATATATAAAAATAATATACATATTTAACAACTAATATCTTGTGTTTCTTTTATTTGATACAACCCCTGTTATTTTTTTTAAAGATAAACATACAGTTGTTTGAGCAAACTTGTATCATTTTAAAAGATCACTTATATGAATACATGACACGAGTATCAGTTTTTCAAGCTACTAGATTGTCATCAATAAATATGAATTTTTCGTTTATTTTATTGAATAACTTTTTCAGTATGAGTATTAGTTGCTTTTAATTTTTTACAAAAAATCAATCTTTCCATTTATGACAAAAAAATACCTGGTGTTCCATTAAAAAAAAAAGTTGACATCTTCCGGTTCTGCCGGAAGTGATAATAAAAATGTGAGGTTGCCATCACATAGATCTTTTAAAACGATACAAATTTACTAAGAAACTACAGGTGTATCTTTAATAAAAAAGTTACAGGGGTTGTATCAAATAAAAGAAACGCCCTGTATATTTTTGAAGATGGTAATATTGGGTGTCGGAAAACGTAACCAGTAGTCATTAATGGTTGTACATTATTATTAATAAAACAAGCTGTTATTTTTCATTAATGAATAAACCAAAAAAAAACATTTAATAAGACATTTATAAATTATAAACAAAAATAAAACCAACAAAAGAAAAACCTATTAAAGCATAACCAACTAAACACTGGAGAAGATGTTCAAAATTTCTACCTTGTGCATATATGTAAGCTCGTGATGTTTCCAAATTTTGATCATTTTTTAATAAAAATTAGTCATCAGTACTTGCTAAGATAAAACTGATTTTAGCAAATGACATACCCTGGAAGAAAAGAGAGGGTGGGTGGGCGGGGCTAGTAGCTGCTAAGATAAGACCAATTGAGGCTAATGAGTAGAGCGGAAAATATGCAGCAAAATTTTGAGAAATATTGTCATATAATATGCATGAAATTTATGCAAATCTGTAGTAACTTTATTAATATATAGAGATATGCAGTTGCCTATGCTCCAAAAATAAAAAAAAAACTTTAATAACCGAACAAATTACAAAAACAGGTTTCTCGAGCTTACGTTTTATTACAAAGTATACATAAATAACATTTTTAAAGATAGTATTTTTATACTAAAAAATAAATATCAACAAAGCAAATTAAAAAATAGTAGTAATCGACTATTTTTAATTACTATTTTGGTAACAATTTATTTTTAGATACTTTTCGAAATATTCTATCAATAAGTTTTGCCGGTGATCCTAAAATATGTATTTGTATTTGTATAAATGCTTCCAATGCAAACACACGATGAAAAATAAGATAACGTCGCTTCGACCACCATAAAACATACTATTAATACACTTAAATAACGGACATAAATATTGGGAATGAACCCTGTTTCGAAAGGTAATTAGAGACCGAATTTACCTGAAGGACGGCTAAACACCCAGTGGTCGACTATCATAAAACCCAAATCTTTCGTGGTTATTTGAAGTTCAGGAGAATATTTACAACATGATTCATGAAATTTCGTCTTTCTAGATAAGTGCCGATAGAATGACAAAAAAATTTAAAATTAGCGCAAAAATTGATAAAAATGCAAAATATGCATCACGTTACGTGAAATACGCAGCAGCGGGCAAATTTATGCAAATATGCATTTTTTTAATAGCTATATTCATTTCTAACTAGCATAAATCGTGCACATATTAAATATCAAGACTTATACACAAAAAATTACGGATATGCAAATTTCATAAAATCCGCTCTCTACTAATCAAATACCCTGTAATAAAAGAGAGGGTGGGTAGGCGGAGCTAGTACCTGCTAAGACTAGGCTGATTTTGGCAAATGACATAGCCTCTAAGAAAAGAGAGGGTGGGTGGGCGGGGCTAGTACCTGCTAAGATAAGACTGATTTTGGCAAATGACATATTCTCTCAGGAAAGAGAGGGTGGGTGGGCGGGGCTAGTATCTGCTACGATAAGACTGATTTTAGCAAATGACGTATCCTCTAAGAAATTTCATTAAATTATTATAAGACAAGACAGTAGAGGCTTCAAAGCACTTTTAAATTCTTCTCCAAACAGGAATACCTAGAACCTCAACATTGTTTAAAATTTTTCAAAAAAAAAAACAGTCCTACAATTAATTCAAAAACAGGTTGGGTCAGAATTTCGAAAAATAGAACACCAAAGTCCCCCAAAATTCATTTACATAATTTTGAAAAACAATCTCCATGGGCTCCTAAAATATTACACCATGGATACGTAACAGTTTTCCGAGTTAAAAAAAAACATTGCGGCACTTGAGACTTTCAAATTCGTAAAAAATAAAACACTAAAAGCTCCAAAATTTTTTTCAATCCACAAAATACCAGATTCCTTTAAATTTATTCGAAAATAAAACACCTAAAATTAACTGTGAACATTTTAAACGTTGGGTTTTGAAAACTTCGACAATTTTTGATACGTCAAACATTTTTAACTGTTACTCGATTTTTCCTGATTTGTACCTTCGCTTTACATCAGACAAACGTCAAATGGAATTTTATCAAATTATTACAAAAACAGCACAACCATATCTTTGTACGTTCTAACTGAAATGGTAATTAATGGTCATGGGCGACAGAAATATTAATAAAAAGTCTTATTACTAGTTATTGTGAGAATTAATTTTAAAATCATAACTCCACCAAAATATCAGAAGGATTTTTTTTTACTAAATTTCCCAGACTTACCAGTTGATTGTTAAGAGCGTAGCGGAGAGTTAATCCGCCGTTTTCCAGACACCCGGTATAATAAAAAAATACATTTGTCGGGGTTTCGTATTGACACAATTTTTGGATTAAGAATAAATTATTTTTAACTGTCTGGAGTGACTTTTAGCATGTTTACAAATACATATTTATCATTAATTAACATATTTTTAAAATTAAAATATATTCCATAGAAGAACAAAAAATAATGAAATAATCGTTCCGATTACACCCAACTTTATTTAAAATAATTGTTAATGAGGGTAAAAAATTAACGTAAAAAAACCATTCTTCCAACAATAAAGACTGAAATATGAGTGTATGTTGAAAAATAAACAAATTCAACTACATATTAACTGCCTGCATATTATTCAGTGTAATAATTAGTAAAACCTAAAACGGCGCAAAATATAGCACATTGCCATGAATGTTTGGTGAACATTTTTATTTCTCATAACATCAGAAATTATTTTCTTTAAAGCTGAATTAATTAATTAAGAAGTCCACTTGAAATCAATAAGAATTAATCATTAATTTGTTTTCCATTTCATAAGCCTGATTTGAAAGCTGGTTGAAGTTTACAACGTTAGGTTGAATTTTTAAATTATGTTCCTATATTTAAAAAAAAATTGAAACTAATCAATGAATATGATATTTCAGAGTTTTATTAGAAGCTGCCTGGCATACCGGAAAGAAGACCGTATTGACGTTTTATCACTAGCCAAACACGAATATTTGCAGCCCCCCATGCCTAAGCATTCGCGAGTAGCATCGAGTCAGCAGCAGCAGCAGCAACAACAGCAGCAACAGCAGCAACAACAAGCGGGCTCGTTTTCTACGGGACTATTTGGGGCAATGAACGCTTCCTCTTCATCTTAGTGCAGTGCTGTGTTTATTTAAGTTATTTAATTCATATGTCTAAAATACTACTCATAAAAACGTACATTAGTTAATAATTACTGACGATAGTAGTGGGACGCTCAGATCAAGATTGAACTAGTTGCGTGGTGAAAATGTTGTTAAAATTCAAGTGCGAATGTCGAAAAGACGCCCAGTGTGTGCGATCCAAGGACTCTTTCAACTTCTTTCTCTTGTTGCTTACGCTTCCCCTCGAGGGTTTTTGTTATAAAGGTTGGATCGAACTAGAATCTTAGTGTACTAAAGCAACACTGTTATTTGTATCTCGCTCTCTGGCTATTTTCCTCCTATGTATGGATTAAACGCAATATATACATATATGTGTACATTTGGTTAAATATCTACCTTTATAATGAGAACCAAAGTCTCAGTCCAATTCAGTACAGAAAGAAGAACAATAGTCTGTATCTGTTTCCTTTAAGCTGTATACATATAGAACATTATTAAGTTATTACTTTTTTTTTTTTTTTTGAAGTGACCTTGCTTTGTACCATAGTGTGTATTTGGTTCGCTGCGTCCTGTTCCCTCTTCATTAAATAGTGTATCATACGCAAAGGCTCATGTTTGTATCCCCACATGACGCGAAAATGGCCGCTTATTAAATAAATTCGTATTTAATAAGCTCATTTTTTCCCAGCAGCTTTTTGAGACATTTTTGTTTTCACAGACTCGTTCTAAACTTCTAAAATTTACATCATTTAGGGCGTAATATTAGTATTAAATGCGATTAAAGTCAATAACCTCAATATTATACGCGATATACAGTGTGCGGCACTAACAACGTGTACGAGTTATATTTAACCGCCATTTTATTGTTTATTTCGTGGTTAAATGGTGCCGTTTTTTCGAAATCACTTCAGTCAGTTGTTGTTCGGTCGGAAAGTGGTTTCGAAAAACACGAGAGTCGAGATTCTTAGAAACGAGGTGGTAGACAGCAGTAGCCGTAATTGTATCAAAATTGTGAACAAATTTAGTTGAGTAAAGTAACCATAAATTAGGATCTTATTGGACCTGTTTAAAAAACAGCGGCAGCACTTCCACCTGACGCAGAAAGTCAGTAGCGGTTAATTGAACACCTACTGACAGGCAGCTTGACGTCTGTAGCATGTGCCACACTGTATAAATCTAGTTACATGTTACCCGCCAATAGGGTGTATATATTTGAAAGCTTGTTACTTTATATAGTGGGGTTATTGTGAATTTTCCATGAAAATGTCTCAAATATTCGATCTGAACAGTTGTTTAAAAGTGTACCAAGTGATGTGGAAATGTACGGACCTAGTTTGTACAGTGCACAGTGTACATTGCAGAGATGCTGAATAAATTAGGGTTGTGTGTAAAGGTCGTCGTACATTCTTCGTCATCTTTGTTTTGTAAATATTTTGAAGCTGCAATATAAGAAGTGAATGCCAAACATGTCCGATATAAGTAAAACTCGCAAATAATTAAAAATACATGTTACTTATTTATACTGTGCTGTTTGTGTGGGTGGTGCGCCACAGACATTGTGATAAGAAATTAACTAAGAAGTCATGTCTTAGTAGCAAAAAAAAAAAACGCAAAATGTATCGTTACTTTATTGTTTATGTACTTGTATCTATACTTTTATTTTATACAACGTTCACAGTTTTTTTTTTCTTTGGTATATCTACCGTTGTAAATACAGTGTGTATGAATTACACAGTAAAAGTTTTCAAAACCAAGTTAATTTATTTCCTCTTCGATTTTATTATAAAATATAACTTTACTAAATTTAATGCATATTTTTTTAACCCTGTATTACGAGAACGAAAGCAGTCAACAGGTTTCTTGCTTGTTGTAATGACTGAAATTCACTATAAAAAAATTACGAAGTGTTAGAACTTTAGAAAAAAAAATTGAAAAACTACTTTCCGTTCTCAGTTGTGTCGCTGTTTTTCACTAAATATGCTTTTTTAATTTTTTTAAAAACACTTAAATTACATTTTGTTTAACCAAGCGCTAAAGGAGAACATTTTATTAACAAATTTAATTTTTTTTATTAATATACGGCGTTTTTAACGTATTCAGGGTCTTTTTACGAAATTTGGCATTCAAAATCGTATTTTTCTGTATGTTTCTCTGCGTCTTGTAAAAAATACAACCTGTATGTGCACCAATGACACACAAGACCATGGTAGAAGGAGACATGGTATAGGCATCCGATGTACCAATTTAAAAATGGTCTGCGCATCCATTTGTGACGTTAGGTGGCATCAACGACCTTGTGACTCTTGTGAGCTTCGCTAGGGAAGTCTAGGGAATTTCAGCTTGAGTTGTCATTGCTCTGTCCAATACGTCAATTAGTTGTCGGATAACGAATTGTATTTTAAATTTCGCGCTAATTTCACCCCACTTGACGTCACACCCGATGCGTATGCCTATACCATGTCTCCTTCTACCATGCACAAGACGTCCAGGTATTGTAATTTTTGCTTAATTTTGACAGTAAAATTTAAATATTAATTTTATTATCAATTACAGTGAAAAAGCGTGTCGATTTTGTCACGTAAAGTAAGCGTGGTACGCCACTGTCTATCTAGGGAAATTTGAGGATTAAATGTCACACTAAACACCCATCCAGAGATCCCCAGCAAGTGAAATGTCAACATTGATATGTCAAATTTTGAATGATTGATAATAGTCTTTTAAATCGATTTTCAAATTTATAACAATCATAACCAAGTGATAAATAATGTAAATATAACGAAGACGTACCACATAAGAAAACAATGACGACTGCACAAGATGTCTTTGAATTAAAATGTATTTTAAAAAACATAAAAATAAGGCTGTGTTGTCGAATTGAAAGTGGAGTGAAACAACTTCTGGCTCTAATCACAAAGTAATTTCTGATTACATTTCAACCCTAATTCTACACACACTTTTTTCGTAGCGATGACGAAGTCGTGCTGCACTACACATATGGAGAATTACCACCAGTAGTGAAGAGAGTTCCTTGGCTCACCGACTCCAGTAAAGTAATTCAGGCAATTTGTTTTGACCCTACAGCGACATGGCTCTTAGTTGTTTGTAAGTTCCACAACAACCACAAAACAATTGATCATTCCATTACTTTCCTCACAGCAATCGATGGTTCACTGTACATAATCCCAGCACTAAGCTTAACTGACAAAAAGCAAAGAATAGACTGCAAATGGTCTCTCAACGATCTTACTCATTTCCCCAAACATTCTCAAACCCCTGACTCAAAACCCACGTGTATCGTGTGGTGGCAAACACTGGACTGCAATCAGAATGCTTTAGTAGGCTATGAAAGTGGGGCAATAGCTTTGGTTAGTTTGACTGATGGGAGATGTTTGGGGTGTTGTGCAATTTCAGAGGCTGTGACACGACTGTCTTTATGTCAGGACAACACCCTAGACTCGGTTTCACTTCTGGTAGTATTTCAACCACCTTTAACCTTGCTAGATTTTAATTGTTTATGTGTTAGATAAATGGGGATAGTGGGCAACAGTGGCGCCTAGTGCTTGAACAAAACTCAGTAGGTGTGTTATGGCCCCCGGAATCCGCCAGTCACTCAGATGACTTAACGCGGTCAAGACTGCACAATTTGAAGCAAATGGGGGTTGATAAGCTGGCATCGCTTAAGCAGAGGTTGGTTGAGGCAAGAAGCGGTCGTCGAGACAGTCAGAGTGACACAGCGAGTGAATCATCGCACTCAGAATCCACACCATCAGGTCCTGAATTGTTGCCTTGTCTTTGTGATACAATATTTGCACCTCAGTATGCTAGAAATCGTTATTTATTTTCGGCGTTTTATAAACCTACGAGTTTGTTGACTGTGCATGCAGTTGACGTGGAGTCAGCGCCTTTATTTGTACATAAATTGATGATGGGTACAAATTCTTTGTTGTTGACGGATAAATTGATTTATACTGTTAATGATGACGGGGACGTGATTTCTGTCATTAGTACGCAACTATCGGAGTGTAGGATGGAAGGGGATGCGGTAAGAAAGTTGGGGTTTATCGGGGTGTGTTTTATTGTGGGGTTTTATAGAAATTTAATTCGGAGGCTTTGGTGGCGCAGTTTTCGGTTGGAAGGGAGAAGGTTTTGAATATTTATAAGTTGATGGATTTGACGGGTGGTAGGACGAGGAAGAGTAAGGAGGATCAAAGGAGGGAAAAGCATTTTGAGATGCCAAAGACGATGGAGGATTTGAGTATAAGGAAACCAAGGATTGATACATGTGTTGTTGTTACAAATTCGTCTGTTTACAAGCTGGTAGTTCGGTAAGTTTGTTATGTTAATGGTTGGTGAAAGGTATAGTTTTTTGTTTGCAAAATAAAATTATGTTAGCTTCGTACTTTCATAATAATTAGAAACTTTTAATTGTGTGATATTTGGAAACTTGAATTAGCAAACAATTTTTTTGGAGATACGCACGCTAGAAATAAAAAAATCAGAAGTTTTTGGAATTGGCCATACATAACTTGTCATTGAACTTGGTTTTTTTAACAGCTGAAAATAAATTTCACAAAATTTCAAAAACATACGAATGCAACGATTTAATTTGTCCCAAAATGGAGAAAATGTTATGTAAAATTTTTATCTTTTCTTGTTAAGTAACTTAAAAACGAAAAGTTGTGTTTTTATATTTTTGTACTTCCCGAGCGTAAGTTTGTAAGAAGTATTGTAATGGAGTCCATCGGACGACTGGGCAGTTTCATGTTTTCTCGATGTTTCATGAAGTATGAAGAAATAGGTCTCCCGTTTCCGTCCGTCCGCCGATTGTGTCGATTTTTATTAGACGAATAATATCCGAAATTAACAAATCGATTGATGTCAGATTTTAAGCAAAATTTGTCTGATCATCCGCACCAACAAGAGAATGACGTCCTCTCCAACTTTTTAAATGTTATTTAAATTTTACAATTTAACGGACTTTTCCTCTTTTGTTTATGAATCTATGTTGAGTTTTTATCTTACCAGATTTTTGGAAAAAATCAACATTTTACAATTTAACTTTGAAATTGCAAAATCGAATGCTTTGAAATCTTGCAAACGTTTTAAGGTCCGTTAATGGTTAATCAAAATTTATCCGTTTATGCCCAAAGAGGAATTAATGATGTTGTTTTACAATTTTGTCCAGTAAATGTTGTTAAAATGTTAAAAAGTAACATGAATTCGTGTTGAATTTTTAACCTAGACATCTAGAATTTTGGAAATAAAAAATTGTACAAGTTTTTGATTTCTCAATTTTTCGAATTTTCGCTTTTTCTGCTTTTTGATCGTTCGATTCCTGGATTTTTCAACTTTTGATTTCTCAATTTCCCGATATTTCACTTTTTCCATTTCTTGATTTTTCGATTTTTTGGTGTTTCGCTTTCTCTATTTTTCGATTTTTCGGTGTTTCAATTCTCCTATTTTCGATTTTTTCATTTTTCCAAATTTTCAGATTTTTGATTTTTCAAATTTTCGATTTTTTTAAATTTTGATTTTTCGATTTTTCAATTTCCCAACTTTTCGAACTTTTAGTTTTGGGATTTTTTAATTTTTCGATTCTTCAGTGGTTCTTCGATATTTCAGCTTTGAGATTTTTCAATTTGCATTTCGATTCTTCAGTTTTTCCGATTTCTCGATTTTTTACTTTTTCGGTTTTTCAATTTTTCGATTTTTAAGTTTTTTGAATTTTCAATTTTTTGATTTTTTGATGTTTCGATTTCTCGATTTTTCAGTTTTCGATTCTTTAATTTTTCGATTTTTTAAATTATAGATTTTTCAATTTCTCGATTTTTCAGTTCTTCAATTTTTATGCTAGACATGGAAATTTTGGAAAAAAAAATTATGACAGTTTTTCGATTTTTCGGTTCCTTGATTTTACAACTTTGGATTTCTCAACTTTTCAGTATTTTCGTTTTACCATTTTTCATTTTTTTGATTCCTCATTTTTCGATTTTTCAATTTATCGATATTTCAGTTTTGTATGTATTCTTCAATTTTGCTATTATTCAATTTCTGGATTTTTCAAATTTTCGGTTTCTCATTTTTTTTATTTTCCAATTTCTCAGTTTTTGGCGTTTCCAAGTTTTCGATATTTTGATTTCTCGATTAATTGATTTTTCGGTTTTTCAATTTTTCGTTTTTTTTTAATCTTGGATTTTCAATTTTCGGATTTTTTAAATTGTACACTTTTTAATTTTTCGATTTTTCAGTTCTTCGTTTTCTGAATTTTTTGTCCTAGACATAGAGATTTTTGGAAAAAAAATACAACAATTTTTCTATTTATTAATTTTCGCATTTTCGATTTTTCTGTTTTCGATTTTTCGATTCCTCGATTTTACAGCTTTCGATATCTCAATTTTTCAATATTTTAGTTTTATAATTTTTCAGTTTTTTGATTATTCAATTTTTCAATTTTTCGATATTGCAGTTTTAGTATTTTTCAATTTTTTCTATTATTCAATTTCTCGATTTTTCAAATTTTCGATTTCTCATTTTTTTTTATTTTTCAATTTCTCAATTTTGGCGTTTCCAAATTTGCGATATTTTGATTTCTCGTTTTCTCGATTAATTAATTTTTCGGTTTTTCAATATTTCGTTTTTTTTTTATTTTGAATTTCCAATTTTTCGATTTTTTAAATTATAGACTTTATTTTTCAGTTCTTCGATTTTTCAATTTTTGTCCTAGACATCGAAATTTTTGGAAAAAAAATACTACAGTTTCTCGATTTATTAATTTCCGAATTTTCGATTTTTCTGTTTTTCGATTTTTCGATTTCTTGATTTTACAACTTTCGATTTTTCAATTTTGCAATATTTTAGTTTTACGATTTTTCAGTTTTTTGATTCCTCAACTTTTCGATTTTTCAATTTTTCTATTTAATTTCTCGATTTTTCAAATTTTCGATTTTTCAATTTTTGGCGTACCAAATTTTCAATATTTTGATTTCTCGCTTAATTGATTTTTCGACGTTTCGATTTCTCAATTTTTTAATTTTTTCAAGTCTTCAGTTTTCGATTTTTTAATTTTTCATTTTTTCGATTTTCCAGGTTTTTGTTTTTCCAATTTTTCGATGTTTCAAATTTGGGATTTTTCAATTTTTCGGTTTTTCGATTTCTTGATTTTTTATTTTTTCTGTTTTTAAATCTTTCGATTTTTTTTAATTTTAGATTTTCCAATTTTTCGATTTCTATGATGTTTCGATTTCTAGGTTTTTCAATTTTTCGATTCTTTAGTTTTTCGATGTGTTAATTTGATTTTTCTGTTTTTCATTTTTTCGATTTTTGAATTTTTATCGGAGACATCGAGATTTTTGAAAAAAAAAAAAAATGTACAATTTTTCGAATTTTCAAATTTTGTGATTTTTAAATTTTTTTATTTTTTGATTTCTCAATTTTTGGCGTATCCAAATTTTCAATATTTTGATTTCTGCTTAATTCATTTTTCGACTCTTCGATTTCTCGATTTTTTAATTTTTTCAAGTCTTCAATTTTGGATTTTTTAATTTTTCATTTTTTCGATTTTCCAGGTTTTTGATTTTTTAATTTTTCGATGTTTCAGATTTGGGATTTTTCAATTTTTCGATTTTCCGATTTTTGAATTTTTTAATTTTTTCAAGTCTTCAAGTTTCGATTTTTTATTTTTTATTAAGTTCTTCGATTTTCCAGGTTTTTGTTTTTCCAATTTTTCGATGTTTCAAATTTGGAATTTTTCAATTTTTCGGTTTTCCGATTTCTTGATATTTTATTTTTTCGGTTTTTAAATTTTTCAATTTTTTAAATTTTAGATTTTCCAATTTTTCGATTTCTATGATGTTTCGATTTCTAGGTTTTTCAATTTTTCGATTCTTCAGTTTTTCGATATGTTGATTTGATTTTTGAATATTTATCGTAGCATCGAGGTTTTTGAAAAAAAAAATGTATAACAATTTTTCGAATTTTCAAATTTTCCGATTTTCGATTCCTCGGTTTTTCAACTTTCGATTTCTCAATTTTTCAGTATTTTTCGATTTTTCAATGACTCGATTATTCAGTTTTTCGATTACTCAATTTTTCGATATTTCAGTTTTAAGATTATTTGATTTTTCGATTCTTCAGTTTCTCGATTTTTCAAATTTTCTATTTCTCGATTTTTTAATTTTTTTAAGCTTTCAATTTTCGATTTTTTGATTTTTCAATTTTTCGATGTTTCAGATTTGGGATTTTTCGAATTTTTTTAATTTTAGATTTTCCAATTTTATGATTTTTTGATGTTTTGATTTCTAGGATTTTCAGTTTTCCGATATTGTTACATTGAACGGGTTGATTAAAATCGGCGTGGGTTAAACTCAACAATTTATTTGTCAATAACTCAAATTTACACAACTGAGAACACAGCGTATGTACAAAATAAATCCGGCGCAACGTGACTGTGTTTTCTCGACATTCATTGAACTGAATAAATCGTTCCCGAAGGTGGCCTCTATTTAAACCCATACTTCCTTCTAAATGTGCGGCGATCGGGATGTTTCTGGATTGCCGTTCGCGACTTCCGCTTCCGGGCTTTTCCTTTAGCGATCCGCCGCTCGGTCGCTGTCATTGACGATGAGTCATCATCGGCGTACAGACCAGAAAGTTCTCGACGGCCCATAGGCGTCGTATCGGGGCGGCGTATGGGTTTATTTCCTAACAATATGTTAATTTGATTTTTCTGTTTTCCATTTTTTCGATTTTGAATTTTTATTCTAGACATGGAGATTAAAAAAAAATGTATAACAATTTTTCGAAGTTTCAATTTTTCTGCGTTTAAATTTCCCGGTTTTCAATATTTTAATTTTAGGATTTTTCAGTTTTTGATTCTTTAATGTTCAATTTTTCAACTTCTCCGTTATTCAGTTTTTCTCCCGTTTCCATCTGATCAACCCCACCACCAGTGGGATGACGTCATCTCCAAAATTTATAATAACGATTTTTACTTCCCGAGCGTAAGCAAAGGAAGTATTGTAATCGAGTCCGTCGGCCGACTCTCTACTTTTACGTTTTCTCGATCTTTCATGACCCCTAGAAGACGAAGAAATAGGTCTCCCATTTCCGTCTGTCTGTCCGTCTGTCCGTCTGTCCGTCTGTCCGTCCGTCTGTCCGTCTGTCCGTCTGTCCGTCTGTCCGTCCGTCTGTCCGTCTGTCCGTCCGTCTGTCCGTCTGTCCGTCCGTCTGTCCGTCTGTTGTCCCGGATTTTTATTAGACAGATAATCTCCGAAAGTACTCGATCGATTGTTGTGAAATTTTGTACTTATATTAAGAATATCATGTAGATGGTAAAACGCTAACCAAAATTTGTCTAATCATCCCCACCACTAATGCGATGACGTCACTTCAAAATTGTACATAGTAAATGGGTTTTCAATTGTATAAAATAACATAGTCCTACACATGTAGTTTACAACTCCGAATCGACTTTTCACCCGAAACGTCCAGATTTTTGGAAAAAAAATCAAAATTATAAAACAACATTTTGAAATTTAATTTTTAATCTGCTAACCAGAATGCTTTGAAATGTTGCAGATGTTTTAAGGCTATAAAGAGCATCATAAATCTTTAGTCAAAAAATATTTGCTTATCCCCTCCAAAAACTTGATGACGTCAGCTCAAAAGTTTGTGGAATAAATCATATCTAAAATGTACAAAATATGATGAGTCTGTACTTGTGATCTATCACTCCATTCATATTTTTTGGATTTGCATATACAGGGTGACTCAAAAAAATTAATGAATGCGTAAATTTATTTTACTGATTTACTCAGAAACTACAAAACCGAATGCTTTGAAATCTTGCAGATGTTTTAAGGTTCTAAAGAGCATAATAAATGTTTAGTCAAAATATATTTGCTTATCCCCTCCAAAAAATTGATGACGTCAGCTCGAAAGTTTGCCGAATAAATCCTATCTAAACTGTAAAAATATGATGAGTCTGTACTTGTAATTTATCACTCCATTCATATTTTTTGGATTTGCATATACAGGGTGACTCAAAAAAATTAATGAATGCGTAAATATATTTTATTGATTTAATCAGGAACTACAAAACCGAATGCTCTGAAATCTTGCAGATGTTTTAAGGTCATAAAGAGCATAATAAATGTCTAGTCAAAATATATTTGCTTATCCCCTCCAAAAACTTGATGACGTCAGCTCGAAAGTTTGCCGAATAAATCATATCTAAAATGTACAAAATATGATGAGTCTGTACTTGTCATTTATCACTCCATTTATATTTTTTGGATTTGCATATACAGAGTGACTCAAAAAAATTAATGAATGCGTAAATATATTTTATTGATTTAATCAGGAACTACAAAACCGAATTCTTTGAAATCCACTGCGAAAAAAAAAACATAATAGGCATGCAGTCGTCACGTTTCCGACAGCGAGGGAAGTACTGTCTAAACTCTTTAGACCAATTTTTTTATTTTATTTTATAAAATAAGATTATCCTGCACTCGCGGTGTGTGAATCGGTGTCGAATTTTCACCCTAGACATCCCGAAATTTTGGAAAAAATTAAAAACTGAATAACAATATGTTGCAATATTTATAACTTTGAAACTGCAAAACCGAATGCTTTATATATGCCTTATAAATATTTTAAGGTTATCTTAATCAGGGTAAATCATCAAAGCAAAATTTATTTGTTTATCCCGTACTAAAAAAATGGTGACGTCATCTCAAAATTTTTATGCATACATGTGATTTATCATTGCATTAAAACTTTTTAAATTTCTTATACTGGGTAACTCATAAAAATTAATGATAATCAAAATCAATTTAATGTTGTTACTAACCGAGAAATTAAAGTCGAATTCTCGCACACCTGTACAATTCTTATCTTATCAATAATCTTAAATTAACAAACAATTATTGACTGCATTGCACAATGTTGAAATTAAAAATTTTCATTCCTAATAAACATGTAGTTTATGAGTACATATAAAAAAATAACAGATTCATTCTTCGCCCTTGTCCATTGCATCATCGTTCGTCATATTCCATCAGTAGTGCTGATTGCGTCGGTCCTCTTAAAAAGCACAACAAAAATACGGCCCCGAAGAGTATGCTGAGGGAAATTACTTCAAAAATATTTCGTACGTCTTTCCAGAATGCTCTCATTTTGGAATTCTAAACATAACAAAAATGAAAATAAGGCACAGTGGAAGAATAAAACAGTTTCACTTACCTTAATAGTGAACAGGTTTATTGAAAACACTGAATCGTTTGCCGTTTCAGAGCCCTTTCGATAAATTTTACCAAGAGTTTTGCTCGCAGAGCGATCTCGAACACGGTTTCGCAAATAATACAGCGTTTAATATCAATATCACGTGTTTTATATTTATCTATGAGATCATTGCGCGTTTTCAAATAAAAGTGCAACATTTCATCATACAAATCCGATCATACGAAATAACGAATTTTTTAGTTTAATATTTACTTAGTCCCCCTTTTTTTCCTCTCTAGCTGTTCACCCATATACAAATTTGTTCACTTCGTCACCGTCGAAAACGACCTGGAAAAAGCAGAAAAGCTCTCTTTCATATTCGGCTTGAACCTCCAACAACTCCTCGAAGCTTGCGGAGACCTCATGATCTCAAAAGGCTCGTTCCACTCCGGCATCATTCTATACAAACAAGCAAAAGTCCACCTCTTGAAACGCGTCCTCAAGCTTGCCATTTCAGCAGACTGCCGAACTCTGCTCAAATTCGTACACCTTTGTTTAAGTGCAAGCCGCGTCGACATGTCCATAGCCACCAAAATCCACATCGGAAACCTAGCAGTCATGGCTTACACGGAATTGATTCTGAGACATGGGGGCCACGCCAGAATTTCCAACACCAAAGACTTCATGTAAAATTACAACCCACAAAATATAAATCGTGATGACTTTTATTATCTTGTAGGAATTTCTTGCGTTACGAAGAATTCTTTGATCAAATTTTAGCCGTAAATGTTGCTTGTCAAGCCGGGCATTGGAATATCGTGACTTTGTTGGCCAAATGTCGCGGTTTGCAGCCCGAGGTGGTTTCAGCGTTTGGACAAATCTTGCAGAGTGCTAGAGCACCTAGAGCTAACGATAGAGAGTTTTTGTTTGCGCTTTCGGAGCCAAGTTTGACTCAGAGTCTCGTTATTTTCCCGCAAAGTAGCAGGGAGATTTTTAATTTTGTTCGTACCAATGTGGATGCTTTTCCTGTGGATGTTCTGCAAAGATTTGCCGTGCAGTTGGATCCGAGTCAACCGTGTGTCATACCTCTAGTCAGTAGGATTTTTTCGACTAACAAGTATTCGACGAGTTTGGATACGACTATAGAGTCGGTGGATGTGGAGAATCCGGATCGAACTATTATTGCTGTGAAGGATTTAATCGAGACGTTTTTAATTGTGATGGTTAAGTTGGTGGCGAAAACAGATAAAGATGGGTGAGTTGACTTTACATAACAAAATTATTTCTAAACATCTTAGGAAGTCTAGAAAACCATCATGGTACAAATTTTGTGACTGTCTTAATTTTAAGGTACAACATCGAGCTTTTAGACGAAATACAGCCCCCGGACCCCCCCGTGGACGAACCCATCATGAAAAAACTCCCCCATTTACACCCCCTCAGTTGTGGCTACGAACACGCAGCGGTTGTTCGAAACTCGTGTCTGTACACCATGGGAGTTTCCAGCTCAGGTTGTTTAGGTTTAGGTCCGCTCCTCAGTCAAAGCAGCCCCCCAAAACTAGTCCAAACTTTATTCGACCTTAAAGTCAAAGTTCTGAGTGTTAGTTGTGGTCGAAAACACACCCTCGCTTTAACAGACTTTGGGGTAAGCACCCTTTACTTTCATTCTCACTCTGTATATTAACCCGTAGGTTTACGCATGGGGGTCTAATACGTATGGCCAACTGGGTCTGGGTCCTTTCATTCAAGAAAGCCCCTACCCTCAAGTGATAACAGCCCTCTCTTTTAAGAAAGTGGTAGAAATAGTGGCTGGTCAGTATCACAGTTTAGCGGTGACGTCAAGCGGGCAGGTGTACACATGGGGGTGGGGAATACACGGACAACTCGGGCATGCCAACTGTGATAATTTTTATTACCCAAAGTTGCTACAATTTAAATACCCAGTTGTACAAGTGGCTGCAGGGCATGCGCACAGTTTGATTTTAAGCGAAGACGGAAAGCTGTATGGGTTTGGATCAAATGTTTTTGGACAGTTGGAGAGCTGTCACTTGGACTCGAATAAATCCACCAGTCCGATTCTGGTTTTACTAATGCCGGATATTTATACCCCTATTGAGAAAATTTCAACTGGATATTTTCACAATGTATGCATGTGGTGTATTTTCGTGTCAAAAATATCTTTGTTGTTTTAGATTGCAATTCGTGTCGACCAAGAAGTTTACACTTGGGGCGCCAGCCCACAGGAAGTTCGCATTTTGCAGTCGAAAAATTTACAAAAACAGAACGGGTTGTCGTTGAAGGCACCGGATTCGTGGAAAGCGAGTGTCCATGTGTATTCTAGTGGTAATAAAATACCGATCGAACAAGTGGCTGTGGGTTATCGTCATTCTGTTATACTTCACAACGGGAAAATTTTGTGGGGGAAGAGTAAAGATGATGAACTGAGCCCCCCTAAACTGAAGGATAAAGATAATATTAGTTTTTACACGCACAAGTTTATACATGTTGCTTGTGGGTTGGACTATACTATGGCGATTGACCAAAGTGGGAAGCTTCTAGCTTGGGGAAGTCCTTCTATGGCACAAGTAAGTATTGTTTGTTTCTTAGTAACTCAAATTTACACGCGATTATGTACAAAATAATTCCGTTCCCGCCGGTGGCCTCTATTTAAACCCATACGTTCCTCTGAATGGATCGCGAACGCCGCTTCGAGGTTTTTCTGGACCCCGCAATCGAGACTTTCGGTAACCTGCTTTTGTCTTTATGCGAGCGCTGCCCGGCCGCCGTCACCGAAGATGAGTCACCCATCATCGCCGCACATACTAGAAACCCATAGCCGATAACCGACGTATGCTCTGACTGGAACAATTGTTTCTGCATTCCCTCTAACTTTCACATTCTGGCACGCGATCAGTTAGGCTTGGATTCAATACTGTCAGGATAAACTTTTCATTGCCAAGACACGTAGGACTTTCTCCGCTGAATCGACCGTCAATCCATGGCAACTAATCAAATCCTTTCTTCATTTTTAGCCACGAGAGCCCGATGTTTTAGCTTCAGTTGACCAATGCAGATCTCTACCTCTGTTTCACCCATGATTGACGTCCAGTCACGGTCTTCAATCTGATTGTTTTGGGCATAGTCCTTAGATCTTTAGCTATCAAGAGTCCTTTACGCAGGATTGAGATTTCAGTGCCAGTATCAATCGTAATTGCCACGCAAGTCCCATTAATCTTCCCCGGTATAGTTTAACTACTGCTTGTGATAACCCAAACATCCCGCCTTAAATTGACATCTCAAAAAAAATTGAAAGCCCGCGAAAAATTCAAAAATTTGGCCTTGGCTGTGATCGTCTTAACAAAATGGAACCCTACATTGTGTTTTTTTTTTGTGGCGGATTGCATTCAGATGCAAGTGGTGGACCCCAAAGTTGGAAAAGTACCGCTAAATAAAACCCAACATATATGGAGGACACAAAATTATTTATTCCCCCACTGACAAAAAAAAAGCTGCGACTAAGTTGTGTCGGTTGAAGACACCAGACACCTCTTAATGCTCAGCTACAAAAATAAATTAAATCAAATTAAACGTTCTGAATCAATGTAAATATCTGAATATCACAAATTTAATAAACAGAGAAAAATCTGAAGTAAAGTAACTGGATGCAAATACTCAAGTTATGACGGAATAAAATTTTAATTGCCACATCGACAGCGGCATCAGAACGCTATAAGAGTGTGGCGATCGAACTATATCAATTTAATTCTAGAGCACAACAAAATTACCCATAGGGGGCTTTGTAGCAGGAGCGGAGTTTGGGGCTCCTGGTTGTGGCTGTTCTCCCCCCACGACGGTGATTCTAGCAAGCATTGCCCCCCATTACGAACATGCCGTACGAGCAGGCCGTTACGGTCGCAAACTCATGGTTCCATTCAAATTCTGCGTCTTTTGTGCAGATGGCGCGATAAATCCCACCATCTCGATTAGGAACCGCGCCCTCCGCTTCTGCCACGTGTTTCGGTGCTATTTGACCTTAATTCCATTTAAATGTTAAATTTCTATGACTCTAATATTAAACTACAATTGAACAAGTGTCAAAGTTTCAAAAAGAGCCATAAACAACATTTAAATTCGCCAAACACTCTCGTGAAATTTTAAACAGCAAAGAATTCTTATCTGAGATTAAGATTGGACATCAGACAATTTATATGACGGAAACATTAATCAACAAAATAGTTACTTGGTAAAAAAAACTAGCAAAGATTTGTAAAACAAAAAAAACAATTGGTGTGAAGTAAAACTTGTGCAGACAAAAAAAAATTACGTGAGGTTAGAAACTACAGGGCATGAAAATTTACGTTCAATTTGAATTATACAGGAAAAAAAATACTGAGGCTAAAATTGTGAGATAGAGAAAAATTGTATGAGGTGAAAAATTGCAAAGTTAACAAAATTACATGAATTTAATATTTTATGTCCATTCGAGCTATAGGTTAATTTTTAAAAGTGAAGTTATTCAGCTGCATTGTGGGCCATCGTTTACACTCCCCCAAACAAACACATGAACAAAAAAACATAGCAGACAATCTGGAGATCCAAAATGGCGTCGGACGAATGCGTCGTTAAAAAAAAAATGTGTCAAAAATATGTCTCCAAGAAATGTGCTCAATCTTGTGGCGCTGTGCAAATAATGGTCTAAATTAAAGGAATAAAGTGCACGTCCCACATGACCCACCATTAATCTTAATAATAATGAAAAAACTTTCAGAGTTTAAATAATATATTCGTAGTCACTGCTGCACGTGTTTCGGTACACAGTACCGTCTTCAGGCAGAAGAGAAACTGAAACTGAACTGAAACACGTGTAGCAGTGACTACGAATATATTATTTAAACACAGTACCGTCTTCAGGCAGAAGAGAAACTGAAACTGAACTGAAACACGTGTAGCAGTGACTACGAATATATTATTTAAACTCTGAAAGTTTTTTCATTATTATTAAGATTAATATGGAGTTTAAACACGTATCAGCCTCATCAATACAAACAATGACCCACCATGTTTTTAATTTGTTCAACGAGATTTTACAGTTCAACCATGTGCTCCGTTTGAAAATACTCTTTCAACATGGCCGTTGCTAGAACAAAGAATTTACCTGATGTTAAATTATGCCACACTTTATCAACGATTCAAAAAAAAAAGTGTTTACATTATGTTAAATTATGCCACACTTTATCAACGATTCAAACAAAGAATTTACATTATGTTAAATTGTGCCACACTTTATCAAACGATTCAAGCAAAGAATTTAGAGTATGTTAAATTATGCCACACTGTATCAACGATTCAAACAAAGAATTTACATTATGTTAAATTATGCCACACTATATCAACGATTCAAATAAAGAATTTACATTATGTTAAATTATGCCACACCTTATCAACGATTCAAACAAAGAATTTACATTATGCCTGGATCCAAGTGACTGGTTACTTAAAACAATTAGCTTTGAGAGTTTATATCGTGGATTGTCTCCAGCTTATCCCAAACAAAACACATGATAAATAAACACAAAATGCACCCGGCGTTGCGAGAAAAATGTTTCGGTAATGTGATGATGATATGATGATAATAACTGCCCAAGGAGAGGAACTTTTAATCCCCCTGGTCCTCAGTTCACGATATTATGAATTCTACCGCACTTTCACGGTCCTTTTCCCAGAGTGGAACAACGTTAGGTTAATTTTAACTGCCGTAAATGAACTAAACTTGCGAACATTAAAATCGGGCCACTATTCAAATCTGACTTTGAATGAAAATTATTCAAAATCTGTATCTACATGAATCCTATAGAATAAAGCATCTGTGGGATGAACGTAAACGAAGAATTAGAGATAGGATCCCGGCTCCTGGATCACTCCAAGAGCTCTGAGTAGCCATTGAAGAAGAATGGGCCAATATCCGCAAGAAATTGTCGTCACCTTAATTGAGTCTATGAGCTAGGGGTGGCAACACCGAATATTAACATCCTTTTCTTCTTAAAATTGTTGATTTTGTTGACATTAAAAATTTCGTTATTGAACAATTTTCTTTTTTGCCCAAAAAAGAATGTTGCAAAACAATTTCATGAAGTTTTTCGTAACTCTAATGGCTTTTTTAGTTTCTTTAAGTGTATATACTCCGGTGGAAAATTTGATTCGAAGTCAGATGTGAATAGTGGCCCGATTTCATTGCTCGCAAGTGTATTAGCAATCTTGTGTGAAGAATTAAGAAGTGATATAATGTAACAGTTGACTATAAGCATCCAGAAACCTTATTTATAACTTGGTAAACAAACAATGAGTCCAGACTAAGTGAATCTCATGAAATCTCCTAGCAAGTACTTTATCTGAACAATTTCAGGACTGTTGAATTGTGTTAGAACTAGTTAACGATTAAAATCCTAACATGAACTGTGAATGTCGAATGTCGGTCGAGAATCCGCATTTTTCTTACTAGAAAAACCGCAAGAATTAGCTACGCGTATTGGGGAAACTGTGGCGTTGCCATCGTTACGATTCATTTTCGTTAAACAAAGGCTTCCCATTTGTATTAACTACCAAATCAACTAAACTTAACGTAGCTTCCTTTCCGCATGCTTTCACTCACACACACCAAACACTAGTGACGCGCCACCTTCCCTCTACCAAACAAGTCAACTCCTACGAACCCTCTCACTAGATACTCCCCAGAAATTCCCTAGGAGAACTATCAAGCACCAGAAAAGAACGAAACGTGCACATGCTTGCCTATGTTCAATTATTTAAATGCGATTTCGCGCCGTTGTTTTTTTTTCAGCGCGAAATTTTAATTCAAATCTGGTCACTACATGCCTTTGGTGAAACTACCTATTTTCATTTCCCTGGGCGCCTTATTCTTACCAAACAGTACATCCCTCAAAGTACTGGCTGTTTTTAGTTTTCCTGCACATTTCGTTGAGGAGATCTGTGTTGTGTGCTTCTCCGATCACGACAATTGCGTTTGAGATGTCCCTGTTGCCCACACCTATTGCATTCTAGGCTTCTCTTATGAGGCATACCATTCTCTAATCCTACCATCCATTTGCTGTGACAGTTGTTCCAGTATCTTCTTTATTCCGACTTGTTTCTTGCGTCCATTTGTTCGTCCACTTTCTCCATTCTTACGTCCATTTCTTCTTTCATTTCTTTATTTCTTACGTCCACTTGTGCGAGTATAGCCATCATCTGCTTTACTTGTTCCTTCATTTTCGCAGCTCTAGTCTCAACAGGCATCAATCTTCAGAATTATTGTCCAATCTGTCCGTAATTCGTCGTAAAACCATCTATTAATTTCAAATCCCACTTCTGACACCAGTGTTACATTGAACGGGTATTTAAAATCGACGTGGGTAAAACTCAACAATTTATTTCAAATTTACACGACTAATTACACAGCGATTATGTACGTTTCTCTGGATGGATCGCGAACGCCGCTTCGAGGTTTATCTGTACCCCGCAATCGAGGCTTCCGGTAACCCGCTCCAGACTTGTCTTTATGCGAACGCCGCCCGTATCATTAATTAATTAATAATTATAATTAATCATTATTCCTTTTTAGACTATCCTTGGGCGTCCTCTAGACGAAGACAGTAAATCCTCCAACGAAGGTAAGGTAATAATATTCAAAAACACACACCGAATCATCAAGTTCCCCAACAACTTCGACGGAAACGCCGACAACTTTCCCGTGGAAGTCCCAGGGCTACCTTCCATGGCGATCACCTTCAACCCCACCGACCACCGAATCTTATTCGCCAAAAAATACGTATCATACGCAATTTTGCAAATCGAGAACGAAACTGACTTAGATCAGTCGTTAAAACCCCTCACTAAAAACACATCGCCGTTAAATTTCATCCAAAACATTCCCAAGTTTAAGCTCGGTCAAAAAACACTGCACTACGCTTTGGAAACCTATCACGGCTTATACGACACCGAAAACGTTTTATCCAAGTGTTTAGACGTGAATAATTACCAAGCCGCCAGTAAAATCGCGATTCTGGATGGCCATTTCGGGGACAGTTTAGGTTTTCAGTTGACCGCTTTTAAAAAATACATGGATACGTGCAATTTAGATTTAGATTCGATTTTCGTTAACAAGGAGATGTTCGATAACATAAAAGAGAAAGAGCAGAATTTTGTCGATTTTGTTGTTAAAAATATCCAGGAGGATTACGGGGAGAAGACTTACATTCATTCGCCGGCGCATATTTTGAGCTCGAGTTCGTCTCTTGATAGTATAAGACAGTGGGGCGACGACGTGGAACACCAAGGGGGCTGCGAAAGCCCCTGCGAAATATCGGATATAGGCGACGTTCGACAAAGCGTAACCCATTACGTGCAGTCGTTGAAAAGCAACGATAATTCGCCGCCGATTTCCAGCGTTTCTAAGCGGGTTTCTGACGCGGAGTTGATTACAAAGAAACCACAAAGCGAAGAAGAATACATCGATTTGGAAATCAAAGACGAGAGAACTCGGGATGTGATCGACCACGCGTCGAAATTGATAGAGTTTTACATTAAGAAAATTTACCTTTCTGAAAATCACATTTTAATGCAGAACGTTCTGATGAAATGTATCGATTTTTGGTTGAGTAATAATTTACCAGTTCCTATTTTAGAAAACGTGCTTTTAAAAAACATGGATAAATATTTCTATCCTTTATCGATTTTATTGTTTTGTAAAAATTTCAACAGCGGGAGCGACGACGACATTATCAAAGATAAACGAGACTCGGCTGGGTTTTTAAAGGAGTTTTCAACCAAATTTTGCCTTCACTTGTGTTCGATGGTGTTAGAAAATGTCAATAAGACGTAAATAGTGCTTTCCAGATTGAGTGTTTTCAGTTTTGGTTTTCTAAAGACAACGTATCCAAATGCTCGGGGAGCACCGAGCTCTAAGCTTGAATTTATCGGATCTTACTGTACTAGTCCTCATTAGATCTCATTTGATGTGTAGTCATTATTTTTAGTTGTCTTCCAGTTTTTAGCTTAGGACTCATTATTAGACCGCCAGTTCAAAAATTGCAGGAATTCGGCAGAATTTTTCATCATGAAAACGATTTACATCTTTGTGATAAATTGTCAGCGACAGCTGAAGCACAATTTTACATGCAGCACATTTTAGTTTTTAGAAATGATTTTACGTGTTTATGGCTGAAAATGGATATAAATCTCTAGTACATATGTAGTAGCCCTTCAAGTGTTGTATTTTCAATAATTATTAAAAAAAATAATAAAGAAGTATAATTTAATCAGAAATTTATTTGGTAAACTCAAGAGGAAAGAACAATTTTAATTCAAGTCAATTTGTGGAAGTGATACGTCTTCAACACTCAGTTCTAGAAGTTGATCATCAAAGTCTTCAGAATTAAAACGGAAGTTAGATTCTGGCATTTTGATGAAAATATCAACATCTAACTCTAGTTTTGGCGGTGGCGTTTTTCGGTCACTGAAGATAGGACGGTGTATATTTAGCGATTTTTTTCCACAGAAAAACTGTGTGTCAATGTAATTATCTAAAAAAAGTACGTCATTTTCAAATGACATTAATAAAAAATAACAAACCTTCAAATTCTACATAAGAAAAGGAGTCATAGATGAACAAATCGTCGTCTTCGCTGTCCAACAGCAGTTCTGGCTGTTTCTGAACTTTCACTAATGGTGTTCTCTTAAAAGGCTCAGATTTCAGGGTTCTCACATCAGGTGAGGCTGCATTAACGGCTCTATCGATGAATGGCTTTCTTGTGACTATGTTAGTAGCTCCTGGCTTTTTGGGGACAGTCTCTGCATCTAAAATTTTTTATAACTAAATTATACCACTGAGATTTTTACATACTTTCTTGTGAGAACACACGAATTGCTGGCGAAAACATGGTTACTGATTTTCGGTGTGCAAAGGGGTAAAGTAACGTTGCAAACACACTGTTCTGTCGCAAATCTTGGTAAAAAGGCAAAATTCACTGGGATAGTAATTTAAAAAACTGGCTCTTTTTCTCAGTTAAAAAATCGTTAGTGTTTTGTCAACTTGGCCAACCTGACGAAATTAAATGTCAAATGTGTCATTTATGTGGGGATTTTTAATGTTTTAGAACTGTTGGAAATTATTCCAATCCAACCCCGTTTTCAATATTTTGATATTATTTTGAACCCCGTTTGTTTGCTATTGCGGTTATTTGTTGCAACATTTAGTTACTTTTGATAAGTAAAAGGTGTGAGAGTGGTATCAGGTTGGTTAAATTTATTTAATTTGATACGAACTTTATCATTGTTTTGTCCTTTTTAACTTAATGTGATGTATTTTTTCAGCGTAATGTTACTAACTAATTAGTTAAATAGTTATTGTGTCACAGCAGGTGCTCAAACGTGCCCTAGACACAACCCAGATAACCCCAGTTTTACGTTAAAACGATTTTTGTCGTTTCGGTTGGTAGCGTAATAGTTATTAGTTTTATCAGGACTATTTATCATCAAGTGACAGTGGCAGTGTCAGAAAAACACAATTTTTCTTATATAATTTTCATCAAAACTAAACTTGTTTTCTTTTTAGGTAAGAACTGTTTACTTTTCTGAATAATACTCCTGACAACGCTTTATAGCATGGCGAAACATCACCCCGATCTAATTTTTTGTCGCAAGCAACCTGGGGTTGCAATCGGAAGACTGTGCGAGCAAGACGACGGTAAATGCGTCATTTGTGACTCCTATGTAAGGCCCTGCACCCTAGTTCGAATCTGCGACGAGTGCAACTACGGTTCTTACCAAGGTAGATGTGTAATTTGTGGTGGTCCGGGGGTCTCCGATGCTTACTACTGCAAAGAGTGCACAATTCAGGAGAAAGACAGAGACGGGTGCCCGAAAATAGTCAACTTAGGTAGCTCAAAGACGGATCTATTTTACGAACGGAAAAAATACGGGTTCAAAAGGCGTTAGAGTTTGGTTTTTTTGATAATAAATGAATTTTATGTACAGGTTTTTTTATACACATTTTAGTGTGTGGAACCTACCTATGCACGCATGACCTACCTTTTACGCACTAGTGGAGTTTAATAAGTTTGGTAAAGCGCGAGTGCACAATTTGTATTTTTTCTACAGCCACGCATAAAAACTGTGAGTTGTGTACTTTTCAATAACAGGAATTCGTAATTGTGCTTAATTTGTAACGTAAATATTGGCTTTAAGCTTTGTATGTGCTATTAAGTAGACTGCGGTTGAACTGATGTCTAGTTCTCGTTAGTCTAGCAAAGTTTATTTTCATGGCGTTAACAAATTTGTTGTCGCGCTCTGTAATTATGCGAATAGCAAAATTTCAGCATTATTAATACGTAGAAAATTAAGTAATAAAGGCGTGAATATCAAGGAAAGTTACGATTGGAAATAGCCCCCTTCTTAAATTTTAGTCGATATAGTAATTTTTGTCGTATACGGTTGGTATGGACCAGCGCCATTTTAAATTTAAACTATTTACAGTAATTCAAACTTATTAGAAACCATGAACAAACTAATCTATTTTTTGTGGAATTACTAACTTTTAGACGCTATGCAAAAGCAGATAGTGGTGTAATTTTGTGAATTAACGGACAAATCTGTCAAAAATAGAAAGTAATCGATAGAAACGCGTAACCGCAGACACAGCTGTGACATAAACATAACCTAACTTATTTTGAAAAACAACTCTATAATTATTATAGTTCCACAAAGAGATTTTTTAATCGAATAAGGTAAGATCTACATTTAGCCTTTTTTATTAAAAGATTGTTTAACTTATTATAGCATGGCCAAACATCACCCCGATCTGATTTTCTGCCGCAAACAACCGGGCGTCGCAATTGGAAGGCTTTGCGAAAAATGTGACGGTAAATGCGTAATTTGCGACTCCTACGTGAGACCGTGCACTTTAGTTCGAATATGCGATGAGTGTAATTACGGTTCTTACCAAGGCAGGTGTGTGATCTGTGGTGGTCCGGGCGTCTCCGATGCATATTACTGCAAAGAGTGCACAATCCAAGAAAAAGACAGAGACGGGTGCCCGAAAATAGTCAACTTGGGCAGTTCGAAGACAGATCTGTTTTACGAGCGGAAAAAATACGGCTTCAAGAGACGTTAGAATGTGGTTTCTATGATAATAAACAAATGATTTTTATTTGCTAGTTTTTTTGTCAAAATGGTTTACCCACATTCTTATAGAACGGAACACAGCGAAACGAGGACTTCGAATAGCGTGTACGGGGAATACCACGCGCAGATTCAGAGTAAGAAGATCCCGATACAACCAGATCTGCTGAAAATTATACAGTTCATTGATTCACATCGAAAGAAGTTTTTGAGAGATGTGGCAGAAGCTGTGCAGATTAAATCGATTTCTGGAGATTTGGAGTACAGAGATGAGGTACAAAAGATGATTAATTTTGCGGAGGACTGGCTGTCGTTGCTTGGTTTAAAATATGAAAGGTTTAATCTTGGCTTTCATGAGCTTGAAGGGAAGAGTGTTAGATTGCCGACGATTATTTTAGCATCTTTAGGGACAGACATGAGGAAAAAGACACTTTGTGTTTATGTGCACATGGATGTGAAGAAACCTGATGAGAGTCGGTGGGCTACTGACCCTTGGACGTTAACTGAAAACAACCACCGTTTTTATGGATGTGGTGTGGCTCAAGGGAAAGGAACTTTAATGCAGTGGTTTCACGTAATTGAGGCGTTTCAAGAAAGCAAGACTGATTTTCCTGTCAATCTTAAATTTATTATTGAGTCAATGTACCACCATAACAGTGCTGGCTTGGCAGATTTTCTTCCACTGCGCAAGCACGATTTTTTCGTTGTTATGGATAATATCATTGTTTGTGATTCAGAGTGGATAGGAAACAAACATCCATGTATCATTTATGGGACTGTAGGTACTATACATTATGATCTTTACGTTGAGAAAGTACCGGAATCCAAAACTGATCCACGTGATGATTTGGTCAACATCTTCAAAGAAATCGTCGATGAGGAAGACCATATTCTGATACCCCATTTTGAAGACATAGTAACACAGATTACGCCAGAAGAAGAAAAAATGTATGAAGACATTCGCGATTTTAATATAGAGGAAGTGCGGTAGTACTCGATTATAGGTCACTCTTTAACTTGAACCCTTGATTAATTAACTCTTTGATTTATAGAGAGAATCTGCCTCCATACAGACAAACTTGGGACAAGGTTAAAATTCTGATGCACTATTGGAGATTGCCATCAATCTGGGTAGGCGAAACCGAAGAATGTATATGTCCCGACAAAAAGGTCGATATAGTCAAGAGACATTTCATCGCTAAAATAGTACCACGACAGATCATTGACAGAAGTACCAATATCACCATTTCTTATGTTAATCACGTGGTTAAGAAACTCAACATCGAAAATAAAGTAACTTGCAAGCTACTGTCGTCAACTCGATACTGGAACGAGAATGTTGCTAACCACAATTATCAGGCGGCTAGGCGAGCGACGATACAAGTATTCGTTGCGTTTGTCGCTATTTTATAAATACATTTGTTTGTTTTAAGATTTATAAGGAAGATCCGAGCATGATCAGAGAAGACAGGGTGAGAGTTAATTTAACAATTCTTGACAGAGTTTTGGAGAACAATATTTTGCTTCTGCCGCTGGTTTCCAGAGGTTCGAATGCAGGTGGTGATAATGAGAGTATTACCGTGCGCAATTTTTACGAGAGTACGAAATTGTTGGCGGCTTATTTGTTCCAATTAGCTAAATAAAAATAGGTATTTTTACATGTTTTATGTAAATTTACATTTTTATATAACAAAAAGTAAAAAATCGGTATTTTTGAGTTTTATAAAATAAAATTTTCTCCAAGTTTGGAAATTATTTTCATGTTTTATGTACCTTTTGTAGCGCCTAGAACATGAAACGGTAGGTTTTCCATTTCGGTTTTTTGTGCTTATTGTGAAATTTTAGTGTGTTTTAAGAATGTTGCATAGATTGTAAAATGTTAACTAAGTTTTGTCTGATCGTCCCCATCCAACATTTTACCACAAATTTTGTAACTTGTTCAAAAATGAGTTAGTTTAATGGGTTATGACCAACGCGCGGAATTATATCACATACGCTAGATCCAGTGGTGTCGCGTCGATAGTTTGATTATAAATATATTTTTCTTTTGGACTATATCAACATAATATAACATTTCAAGATCGCAAATTTGTGGTCCTGTGGTTGAAAAATTAAAAAGGGTATCGAGTATTGTTACTTGAAGTAATATAGTAATATAGAAGTAGTTTTTTTACTAGCTGTAAACACTCCTAGCGACGCACTGGCTACGACCTTGTGGACCAGATCAAAGCGTCCCCGCTACTCGCCGTAAAACACACCTTACTTCAACTGGGGAATTGCAGCCCTGAGATAGAATTGAAAATATAGTGGCTATTTTTTGTTCAAATGAAAAGTTAGCTTATCTTATGTCATCTTATATCGTAGATGCTGTCTATCACCGAAAGTAAAGAAACTGCAATATAATCTTATACGTATTTAGAGCACTAAAATTAACTTTTTCAGGTGCAGAAATAAACTTATTTTTGTGGTACTTGTACTTCGTTCGGTTTTTTCATTGTGCTTATGCGAGTTACCTAATAATAATCAACGTACTAATTTAGTTGGTGTATTTTTTAAGGGAAAGTTCACCCCCATTTTGCAAATTGTGCTTCCAAAAATTTTGAAGAAATTACAATAAGGTGATCGTAAAATTAAGAGTTGTCCCTAGTTTCAGTAAGTTTTATTTCCGTTGGGAGTTAACGAATAAGCGGTGTTAAATACGGTAATATTTTTGTTTTGTTTTTAATATAAATTTCATCACCATAAATATATATAAATTTCTAAATTTTTTTAACATACTACAGATTTAAAAACAAGCATTATTTGATCTGTTGTCGTTGAATGCACAGCTTCAATAATTTTCCTGTCATTATGAAAAGGGTAAATTTTCAGTGAATTTAAAAAAGCCACAAAATTCAAACAATTTGAAAATCATTAATCTTTTACTTTTAGATTACATTCAAAGTTAAAAAAACCTGTACATATTCTGATTCTACAGGCGGTCTGCATTAAAGAACTTCAAAATTTAGTTTCATATAATATGGAATACATACCATGAACAAATTCGAGCATAAAATGTGACAAAAACACCGAGCTAGGTCATTTGTATTCAAATTTAAAATTTCTTGAAACTTAAATTGTGAAAACGTCGACATTTTTTATGATGTAAATCATTTATTTATTGCAAATAGAATCGAAGCGGGGCCGAGAACTACCTATATACTCACTAGAATCTTTGTTAATGTGTACGTACTTTAGAAACAGTCGGTTTTGCCTCACATGTATTTAAAAATCTGAACATTGGTTGATTAAGATTTGTAAATAAATGCGAGACGTAGTCGAGGGTTGCAAATAAGCCCGAGGCGGAACTAAGAGTTGCAAACAAAATCGAGGCGTAGCAAAAAATTGCAAGTAAGCCCAAAGGTGCAAAAATAGCAACCAATACGATCAGATTTAATATTTTCATGGTGATTACAATCACCGTTGGATCTCTTTAAAATGCAACTAGGTACATGCATTAATAAACATCGATTTTAATTCAACTGCGAAACAACTTTGCCCTCAATTTTTTTTGTTTGAGCAACGTATCATAACTAAATAACTTTTTTTTAATTCAAGTAATAGGGTAATTCGAGGGGACGCGGCCATGGTTTACTTTTTTGACGATTTCTATGTTATTATGAAAGCAAATGACTTCAAATTTGAAGGAGAATGTTTTGCTACACCATAGATTTCATATATCAGTCAATAAATGCTAAAGATCTTCACAGTGAATTTTTGAGAATTTTTGTTGTTTTATCGACGGATGGCCATCTCTCCTTGAGGGGTGAGGTGAGAAGGCCATATTGTGTAGGGAGTGATGGCCATAGCATTTTTTACAGACATTACGTATAAAAAAATAATTTTTATAAAACATTTATTAAAAAACACAAAAACAAAGAACATTCGTCATAAAAAACTTCAAATAAAATAAACAAATTTAACAAAAAAAATTGGTCTAAAGAGTTTAGACAGTACTTCCCTCGCTGTCGGAAACTTGACGACTGCATGCCTATTGTGTTTTTTTTTCTCATTACATTTTTGTAGTGGGAATTTAAAAAAAAATTGTGATGACGTCATCAACATTTTTGCAAGGACACGTATATCAGTTGGGATAGATGTAGTGTAATACTAAGAATAAAATTATTGTATTCCCAAATTTTCGGGAAAATGAATTTTGAATATTGATTTCTTATAATCAATAAAATAACGAAACAATTTACTCACGTATACGGCGCCGGTGTGTAATATCTAGAGAGCGGATTTCTGTCGGGCTAGGCAAGGCCAAACTCGGTACGGCTCATACGGGATGCGAATTCATTGCGGTTGCGGACTGCACTTCGTTTATTTGAGATTAGAATAACGCTGTTTCGTTGCACTCTGCTGTTAATTCCCGTTCTCATTTACTTAGCCGTTTGATTAATAAATCGTTAATTATATTTATGGAATTAGTACCGATTAAACGTGACGTAGCCCGACAAAAATCCGCTGTCTGGTAATATGAAAGGCAACTGAAAATCGTTTATGTATAAACATTCTTAATTTAAGATGACAAGCGTAACAGCATACGTGAGAGTCAAACAGAGAAACTGTAAACAAAACGACCATCGGTTTTATTGCTTCGACTTCCGCTTATTATATAAAACATTGGGTTTTATTTTAATTCTTGACGGTGAAATTCACAATTGGTTGATTATAAACATGTCTATTCCACATTCGCTGAACCAAGTGAGCGCATAAAACAAATGCAGGTCTGTAATGTTAAAGTCGATGTAAATAAGCGTGCTACCCTTATGTTTCAACCGAGTTTTTCCTTTAACAAATTTTGTGTTTACCAAATTGGGTTGGTTGGGGTGTAATACTAATAATAAGTGTTGCCTTTAATTTAATCAATAAAATATATTGACTTCATTAATTTTTTTGAACCACCTCTTAAGAAAATCTAAAAAATATGAATGGAATGATATATCACAAGTACAAACTCATCATATTTTTTGCATTTTAGATAGGATTTATTCAGCAAAATTTAAGGGTGACGTCATCAATTTTTTTAGGAGGGATGAACAAATACATTTTGAACAAAAGTTTACCATGCTTATAATAACTTTAAAATATTCCCAAGATTTCAAAGCATTCGGTTTTGTAATTCCTGATTAAATCGATAAAATAAATTCACGCCTTCATTAATTTTTTTGAGTCACCCTGCATATGCAAATCCAAAAATATGAATGGAATGATAAATCACAAGTACAGACTCATCATATTTTGTACAATTTAGATACGATTTATTCGGCAAACTTTTGAGCTGACGTCATCAGTTTTTTGTAGAAGATAACCAAATATATTTTGACTAAAAATTTAATATGCTCTTTATAACCTTAAAATATCTGCAAGATTTCAAAGCATTCGGTTTTGTAGTTCCTGATTAAATCAATAAAATAAATTTACTCATTCATTAATTTTTTTGAGTCACCCTGTATATGCAAATCGAAAAAATTTGAATGGAATGATAAATCACAAGAAGAGACTCACCATATTTTGTACATTTTAGATAGGATTTATTCAGCAAAATTTTGTGGTGACGTCATAAATTTTTTAGGGGGGACGACTAAATACATTTTGATCAAAAATTTACCATGCTTATGATAATTTTAAAATATCTTCAAGATTTCGAAGCATTCGGTTTTGTAGTTCCTGAGTAAATCAGTAAAATAAATTTACGCTTTCATTTATTTTCTTGAATCACCCTGTATATGCAAATCCAAAAAATAAGAATGGAGTGATAGATCACAAGTACAGACTGATCATATTTTGTACATTTTAGATATGATTTATTCCACAAACTTTTGAGCTGACGTCATCAAGTTTTTGGAGGGGATAAGCAAATATTTTTTGACTAAAAATTTATTATGCTCTTTATAGCCTTAAAACATCTGCAACATTTCAAAGCATTCTGGTTAGCAGATTAAAAATTAAATTTCAAAATGTTGTTTTATAATTTTGATTTTTTTTCGAAAAATCTGGACGTTTCGGGTGAAAAGTCGATTCAGAGTTGCAAACTACATGTGTAGGACTATGTTATTTTATACATTTGAAAACCCATTTACTATGTACAATTTTGAAGTGACGTCATCGCATTAGTGGTGGGGATGATTAGACAAATTTTGGTTAGCGTTTTACCATCTATATGATATTCTTAATATAAGTACAAAATTTCACAACAATCGGTCAAGTACTTTCGGAGATTATCTGTCTAATAAAAATCCGGGACGGCAGACGGACAGACGGACGGACAGACGGACAGACAGACGGAAATGGGAGACCTATTTCTTCGTCTTCTAGGGGCCATGAAAGATCGAGAAAACGTAAAAGTAGAGAGTCGGCCGACGGACTCGATTACAATACTTCCTTTGCTTACGCTCGGGAAGTAAAAAGGTGGGTACAAATCCATGCAACTAGTAAAAATGTTAAAAAGAACGTTCAGATTATACGTTTAAACAAAAATTGCATATGTAATTTTTCGGTGTATTTTTACTTCCCGAGCGTAAGCAAAGGAAGTATTGTAATCGAGTCCGTCGGCCGACTCTCTACTTTTACGTTTTCTCGATCTTTCATGACCCCTAGAAGACGAAGAAATAGGTCTCTCATTTCCGTCTCTCTGTCCGTCTGTCCGTCCGTCTGTC